AGTGGTCTACTGTCACTGAAAGTGCCCCCATGATGGAAGTACTTTATTACTGTTTTCAAGAGAATGCCCACTATTAACTTCCTTTTTTAACATTTATTTTTGAGTGATACTGCACTTGAAATGATAAGGAAAATATAGAATACAAAGAATAGATAGTCATTTCTCTCAAAATGTTGGCAAGGTAAGTGTTTTGATGAATATTGGTTTGATATATGAATAGCAAGAAGCACTCTCAGGGATAGGCAGTAGGAGGAAGACTGACAGGGTAGGGAATTTACTATGTAGAAAAATAATTAGGTTGGGAGGAGTTGGTCAGACCAGTCTTCACGTTGCTCGCAAACACCATGCACTACCTTAGGGCATAGTCTAAGCTGCAGAAGCAGAGGCTATAAAATATAGTGGCTTAAAGCCCAGAGATCATTTCTCCTAACATTCAGAGCTCAGTAGTAGGCCGGAGCTTCTGGCTGTGTTCTCTCAGTGCGTGACTTCCAGTATTGTTCCAAGGTGGCCAGCTCAGCTTTTGTATCACTCAGCTTATGGGAGGAGGGACATGACTTAGGAGAACATATGTTTAATTCTTTTGAGGGCAAGACCACAGAGCGGACCACATGTCCATTTCCATGCTGTTGGCCAGGATTTTGCCACATAGTCACATCTAGTTGTAAGATAGACTGAGATACAGCTCTGAGCTAGGCTGGCATATCAACTAAAACTCTCTTGACTGAAAGAGAAATATTAGGGGACCCTATTACTAATGTGGGGTTCTCAGATCAGTGGGTTATTGTAAACCTTTTCAAATACATTGAGACTCATACCTATCTCTTTATAATCTAGTTAAAAATACTAAGTGTTGGGACTGGCAGGTGGCGTGGTGGTTAAGGGCACTGGACTCCCACATGGGCAACTGCAGTTCGAGTCCTAGACCTGACGGTTTGCTTTCTCACTTTCCTGCTCTCTTTTTTTCTCTTTCTCACGCTGTTCCTCTCTGGTCACATTAAAATAAATAAGTAAAGTTAAAGGCCTATTTTAGGTGCCTTCTTGGCCTTTCTGTTGAAGCATTTTTGTTTCCTCCTGGGTGTGGGGAAGGACCCCTCAAGAATGAGGATCTTCATTTCTTCATGACAGTAAAGCAGGGGAGCGTATTTTTAGACTTCATGGCTAGCTTTGAGGAAAAAGGGCTTCTAGTTTCTGTGATCTGCCTTGGAAAAGAGGAATTTTAGCTTCTGTGTCTTACCTTGAGGTAAAATGAGGAGGGAGAAAGTGGAGACAAAAGAAGGTCAGAAAAAGAGGCTTTTGAGCCCATTCCAAAGCTTTCACTTTGAGGTATTGTTTTCTGAGCCCCAAAGTACTCAAGGTGTGTGTTTTATTAAATAATTCTTGTTTTAATTTGGGCCTTAAAATTCTTCAATATGGAAAAATAAAACCGCATGAGTATTATGTAAGAAGACACTTTCTTTTCTTCATTTCAGCCATGTAGAGTTGCAGCAATCCATAGGATTAGGACCTAAAGGAAAATTTTTGGTGTACAGGTAAAATTTGAAAATAATGCATGGCTTTAACTCTGTATCCCTTAGCTTACTGATTTTATACTAAATAATTAACTCTATTTCTGAAGAAGTAGAAAATACTGGTGGTCACTAAACCTCTAGATTTTCTGCAGGATTGCTTTTCTGGGATAGTGAAACTATTAGGGTTCTCGGGCATGCTAGGTAAGAGTAGATTCAGTCCACATGGGATGCACTTACCTTCTAAATAACCAACTTTCATTTTATGGCATAGATCAAAAGGTGTATTTTTAGAAAGTATGTCACTCGAATATCTTACATTACAATTTTACAGGTGCTATTTGTTTTTATTGCCAGGGGGCATGCGCACTCACCAGAGAGAAAGGGAAAGCAAGCTGCAGTGGGACATGGTCATGCCATAATCCATTCTCTGTTTCTCCATCTTACAATGTTGGGCATGGATGCACACAGACCTGTGTGTTTTGCAAGCCATAGGAGCTGGGATTACAGCCAAGATTGGCTGTGTGTGGCCTCTCTATGCACTGGGTTTAATTGCTGCACTCTGGGGCTGGGCCTAGAGGGGCTTT